CTTGTTGGAGGCAGTGGGTTTTGAGGTTTCGAGAGCCCAGGCCATTCTCAGTCTGTCTCTTTCTCCTCTCTCCCTCCCCCTCAGGGATTAAGATGTAAGCTCTCGGCTACCTTTCCAGTTCCACGCCTGCCTGCTTCCATGCTCCCCACATGACGGTCTGCCCCTCAGGAACTGTGAGTCCCAAGTTAAATGCTTTCTTTTTTAAGTTGCCTTGGCCCATGCTTTGTCACAGCAATCGTAAAGTGACTAAGATAGGTCTTAGAGGACAGATTATCTTAAGGTCAGATATGGAAATGCCTCAGGAATGGGATAGTTCCAGCTTAGGGCTTGTTGAGGTCTGCCGCAGAGGACAGACTCTCTCTACTTCTCTAACACCGGTGTTCTCCCGGTGTCTTAGTTGGGATTGCTAATGCTGTGATGAAACGCCATGACCAAAGCAACGTGGGGAGGAAAGGATTTATTCAACTTGTTCTTCAACATCACAGCTCACCATCAAAGGAAGTCAGGACAGGAACTCAAACAGGGCAGGATCCTGGAAGCAGGAGCTGATGCAGAGGCCATGGAGGGGTGCTGCTTACTGGCTTGCTCCCCATGGTTTGCTCAGCCTGCTTTCTTACAGAACCCAGGAGCACCGGCCAGGGATGGCACCACCCACAGTGGGCTGGGCCCTCCCCCATCGATCGATCGCTAATTATAAGCTTGTCCACAGCCCAGTCTGATGAAGGCAACTCCTCAGCTGAGGTTCCCTCCTCTCACATGACTTCCGCTGTGCAAGTTGATGTAAAACTAGCAACACCCCCAGCCTGTGATTTTGCTTTCCATTACCAGTGGCCAAAGACAGGTTCAAAGACAGGAAACAGAAAGTTTCAGAAATAAACAATTCACAAATTTTAAATGTTTTTTGCAAATAGTGTACTATTAACCACTCTATCGAAGTTTTTAATATCTTACGACACACACCCCATCCTGCTAGTGCCTAAATCCCGGGGGATCAAACCAAGGCTTCACACACGCTCGGCAAGTACTTTCTCATTGCTCCATGGCCCACCCACACTCTGTTTTTCTTCACTGTCTCCTCTGTCCCCTTCTCCTTCCTCTTTCTTTCTTGTACAGGGGGGCTGGACTCTTGCCTCATTGCATTCTCCCACTGAGCTACAGCCTCATCATGCCTCCTGTAGAGATACCATCTGCGGAGCTCGGGCATGTACTGGGAGTCTTGGAATGCTTCTCCCGAGGTAGCGGGAGGGAGGGTGCAGGGGGGAACCACCCGATAGTCTATCCTAGGCAAACACCTACAAATGAGCAACCTGGACTAGCTGAGGGGGTGGTCCATCGACAAGCCGCCTCGCTGGCTCAGTCTGTGCTCTGCCATCATTGCTGTGATTGACCTCGTGAGGGCAGGTACCCTCGGTACCCAAAGACAGAGTTACATTCTCAGAACGGAAGCCCATCAGGCCATCTGAATCCAACAGCCTCACCTGCTGGTGTGATCTGATGTCACCGAAATTCACTTTCTTCCCCAAGTCTAGGATCACCGAATTCTTAGTCTCCCGGATGTAATCGTCACTCACAGCTTGGGCCTTCGCGGTTTTCTTACTCAGACCCTGGGGCGGCCTGTAAAACAAACGCCCCACACCTGTGAAATGACTGGTCACTGTACGAGGGTCCATAGGTCAGAGTGGGTAAAATGACAACCTGGCCTCAGCAGTCAGGGGATTAACCACTGCACGAAGAGGCATTTTATTTGATTAGTTAATTTTATAATTTGAGACTTCACGTAGCCCAGGATGGCCTTAAACTAGCCAAGCAGTCCAGGACGAGTTTGAACTTCTGATCCTCCAGGGTTCATTTACGCTAGGCAAGTGCTCTACCAAACGAACTGCATATTTTAAATTGCCAGGCACGGCAGCACATGCCTTTAGTCCCAGTACTCCAGAGGTAGGCGGAGCTCTGAGTTCAAGGACAGCCAGGGCTATACGGAGAAACGCTGTCTCAAAACCCCAAAATCAACAACAACAAAAAGCATGTCCCTTGTCCTGAGGCGTTCAATATCCATTTGGTATCTATTTTGATTAGGTTATCTCAGAATCCCCTCACTGAGAGACCGGGGCCCAGAGCACGCTAGTCTGTGCCTATGCCCCTCCCAACTGGCATCTCCAAACTTTGAAGACACTTACACGGATGGTGCACTTTTAGGCAGCCCCATGGCATTGGTGGGTGGAATGGATGGGAGAGAAGGCAGGACAGAGCTGAGGAAAGCCACTGGGTTCTGAATCCGACCGGTAGGAGAGACAGGAGTTGGGGACACGCAGTGAGGCTGAAACTGGTTTCCGCTGGGGCTAGGATATGAGGCTGGCTCCGCTGGGCCTGGAGGAGCCGGCTCGCTCTGGATGGAGAGCCTGCCGGGAGATCTGCCTTGGGTGGCGGGGGCAGACAGCAGGAGGCTCTCTTTGCTCACTGTCCTCTGAATTGTTTGAGGAGTATTACTCAGGGTGAACACGGGGGAGCTGGAGGGGGACGCGGCTGCCGCGGAGGCGCTCGAGGCGGGGAAGAAATGCTTTGGCCGGGCCAAGTTGAACGTCTGCGGCACAGGACCCTTCACCTGCTTGCTGGAAATGGTCACTGCCGGGGAAGCCGAGTTCAAGGCGCTGGCGTTGAAAGGAGACTCCGCGGGCGACGAAGGGGAGGTGCTTTGCAGCTGCTGCTGCTCCAGCAGCACTTGGTTATGGAGCTGTTGTAACTGGCTGGAGTCGCTGCACGGAGAGAGGAGGGACACGTCACCATCAGCCTCGCCTGTCAGAAGACCTGGGGGTGTAGTTGGGAGACTGCGGAACCCTGCGTTCAGTGCCCAACAAGGAATGAACCAGGCACCGTGGCACACACCTATAACCCCAGCACTCAAGAGTCTGAGGCACCAGGGTTCAAGGCTGTCATCAGCTACAAAGTGAGTTTGTGGTCAGCCTGGGCTACAGGTGGCTATTTTATATGGGGGCAGGAGCACAGAGGGAGTGATGGAGAGATGTAGAAACAGAGAGAGAGAGAGAGAGAGAGAGAGAGAGAGAGGGCTGAAGTGGCAAGACATCCCCTAACAATGGCTAGTGAGCTCTTTCCCTCTCCCGGAGGGAATTCTTGGAGCTATGACACTTCAGTTGTGCAACAGTGAATGTTTATAAATTGAAAATAAAAAATGGAGACAGTGTTAGGCTTCTCGATACTGTTCATAAAGTTTCCAGGGCCTTGACTCTTCCTTATCTCAGCTTGGGTCTTGCCCCACACAGGGAGGAGTTACTGTGTCTTCTAAGAGAATAGCTCCCTCTCCACGTGTGACAGGGATGGAACCTGGCACGTGGTACATGCAAAACAAGTGCTCTACTACTAGGCTACACTCTCAGCCCGCCTCCAAAGTCAACCCTCTGGCAGGAACTGAGTGTGTCTGAATGGTTCCAAGCAAGGCTTTGTGGCTAGGATGACCCTATGTTCCTATTCACTCTTGCTTTAACCCTTTTGTAAGCATCATAATTATCACAGATGTTGGTTTTCACTCTCCAAAATGTCCTGCTGTGGCGCTGCCTGTGGTGGGGCACACCTTAACCCCAGCACTTGAGTGTTGGAAGAAGGAGGATCAGGAGTTCAAGGCTAGCCTCAGCTATGTGTCAAGTTTCCTGCTGGTCCAGGCTACATGAGACATTGTTGTTTCGGTTTGGTTTTCAAACCGACAAAGGAACATTGCCCTTGACTGTTCCTGCTCTTACAAAGAAAAAGGAGGCTGGGGGGTGGGTCAGTGAGCAAGTCTGAAGACCTGAGTTCAAATCCTCAGCACCTCTGTGAAAAAGGCTGTGATAGCAGCGCTAGCCTGTAATCCTGGCACTGGGGGGAAGGACATGGGCTCGGTGGGGCTTTGTGGCTGCCTGTCTAGATCCAAATTGAGAGAGAGACTGTGTGCCAAGGGAATAAGCATAGGAATACACACGGACATATGAACGCACCACAGACGCAGATACCACACAGCATACATCATGTGCACACACAGCATGAGAAAGAAAACAGCCTGGAGACACGGCGACTCTTGCAAAGGATCCAGGTTCAATTCCCAGCACCCACATGGACACCAACACCTGCCTGAAATAACTCCAGTTCTGTGAGATCCAGCGCCCTCTTCTGGCCTCCATGTGCATCTGCACTCATGCATTGTACATACCACTCAGGCGTGCACACACACAAGATAAATAAAGACATTATAGAGAGAGAGAGAGAGGAAAGGAGGAGGGGATGGAGGGAGTGTCACTGTATGAGCCCAGGCCACAGAGGCTCCACAGGACATGTCTTCTCACAAGCCTGTTTCTCTTCAAAAGTGACTTATTCTTAACAGGAACGATGGAAGGAAAATGTCTTAAGATCACAGGTGCGTGAAGGCGTCAACACTGCCAAACTGTGGTGTTTAGGAGGGTTTACTCCGGAAAGAGTGACCTGGAGGGGAAACAGGAGATGGTGACATTTCACGACCGCTGCGTGCTGGATCTGGGGTGCGGAGGGTGAGCAGGGGAGCATGAGAGCCCTTGAAACGAAAGAAAACTGTTTTAGAATCATTAGGAAAGGGGAGGGACGGTGAGCTGGCTCAGCTGGTGAAACCTGAGGGCCAGAATTCAATCCCTGGAACCCACACGGTAGATTCCTCAAGTTGTCCTCTGACCTCCACACAGGGGTCATCTCTCTCTCTCTCTCTCTCACACACACACAAATATAAAAACATTTTTAAAAAGATCAACACAATGTTAAACCAGAAGTCTCTTTAAAATCTTGCACCTTTTTGGAGTGTTGAGGGCTCAAATCCAGTGTTTCACAAATGCTAAGTACGTAATCTACCATGGATACATTGCCAGACCTTTGATTAATTTTATTTTATGTGAAAAGAGAACTATATAAAGCCCAGGCTGGCCTGGGGCTCTCCACCCGTCTTCCTCAGCTTCCTGATTGCTGGGATTACAGATGTGGGCTGCCATGCCTGGTTGGGTTTTCCTAATTCTTTGGAGTTCAAGGCTTTTTTCCCCTTCTCTTCACTGACATTTCTAACACATTATATGGAGATGAGGCAATTTCACTAAGTGAAAACCCCTTTCTGCCTCTAGCCCTCCAAAGCTGTGGAAAAGCTGTTGTCCGGTGTTTAATTGATAACTCAGTACTTTTGGTGACTGCCTCCCTCATCCTCAACCCTGCTTTAAAAGTGAAAGAATAAGTTCAATTAAAATGTAATTGAACAAAACCAGGCCCAGAGGCACACACCTATGACCCCAGCACTCAGCAGGCAGAGACAGCCTGGTCTACAAAGCAAGTCTAGGACAGCCAAGGCTACACACAAAAACCCTGTCTCGAAAAACCAACCAACCAAACAAACAAACAAAAAAATAACTGAGCAATTAAATGTCAAAGAGTGGTAGTGGTGGTGGCAATGGCAGCACTCAGGAGGCAGAGGCAGGCAGATCTCTAAGTTCAAGGCCAGACTGGTCTACAGAGCAAGTTCCAGGACAGCCAGGGCTACATAGAGAAACCCTGTCTCAACAAAACAAAACAAGAAAACAACTTTTAAAAAGACAAGAAAGAAAGAAAGAAAGAAAGAAAGAAAGAAAGAAAGAAAGAAAGAAAGAAAGAGGGAGGGAGGGAGGGAGGAAGGAAGGAAGGAAAATGAAAAATGTCAGCTTTGTAGCTCTTCTGAGACAGGGACCGTCTCCTTTGCATTCCCAGCTAACCTGGGCTCTCAGTCTCTGCGCTTCAGTCCCCTGAGTGCTGCGATTAGAAGTACACTGGTCACACATCCTGTGGCTTTTGAATTTTTGAGATTAAAGTATTAGACAGTCAAAACACAAGCCTAGGTATCAAGTTTGAAGGTGGCTTTAGCAACAATGTGGATACTGTGTGCCAAAACTAACTCCCTCTGGCTCTGAAGGACAGCTGATATGCACCCGGACTCAGCAATCCACTCAGTAGCCTAAAATCATGTGGGAGAATTTGGCCAATGCTGTTAGGGCTGTCTTGCCCCTGTCTGTTGTTAACCGTTTCCCCGGCTGATCAGGACAACACGTTCTGAGCATACGTGCACTGGTTTTACCAGTCCTCCTGGTGTAGGCTGTTCACTACGGTCACCTGGAGACTCCACAGCAAACAGTCCTGGCTGATGGAGGCACCGATGCTCAGAGAGCTAATTGAGCTAGGAAAGGGGGAGATTAAACCCCGTGGGTTTTAAATACAGGTCAGCTGCTCTTCACCTTTAGCTAGCCTCAAAATCTGGCTAAGATCCAGACTTCCAGGTTACCCAGAGGTTCTGATTCCATGGGTCAAGGTTGGAGGCTGAGAGCAGCACTCTCCCCCCCCCCCCCCCCCCCCCCCGGGGGGACTCCCACACCATGCCACTGCACAAAAGGTATTCGTGCCCAGGGTCTGGAGATGTAGAAAGCTTGCCTGGCATTCAGGATGGCCTAGGTTCAATCCCCAGCTCCCCGTCAAAAAACTCTGTGTAGTTGTGCACACCTTCAATCCCAGCGTGAAGGAATCAGAAGAATCAGAAGAAGGTCATCCTTCTTTAAATTTACTGAGCTACACAGTAAATTTAAAGGCAGCCTTGGCTACATGGGACCCTGTTTCAAAATAGTTTCAAACAACAACAAAACCACACACATTTATCTCCAAAGCATAGGCTTTCTAGTTTATCCTAATTTTCATCCAACAGTTTGCTTATTTTCCAATGTTCATTTTGGATTTTTTTTTTTTCTGGACATGAAGGGGTGTAGGGTAGGAGAAGTGGCAGCTTGGGTTATGTCTCTAATTGTAGATCAGTGGCTCCCAAACTGGCTGTATATCAAACTGACTGGTGGAGCCTCTGAGTCAATCAAATCGGAGGACATTGAGGTATTCCTTAAATTCGGAAGCACTGCTTCAGACAGCTTGACAATTGAGCCGAAATTTTCCAAGAATTATCTTGGCCAGACGGTGGTGGCATGCACCTTTAGTCCCATAGGCAGAGGTGGGTGAATCTTGGTGAGTTCAAGACCAGCCTGATCTACAGAGCGAGTTTCAGGACAGCCAGGGCTACAAGATACTCTGTGTAAACAAACAAACAAACAAACAACAAAAAAATGAAGAAGAAGAAGAAGAAGAAGAAGAAGAAGAAGAAGAATCATGACTTTGACTATACAGTGAAGAATGACAGCCCTTTTTTCTGCTGTTAAAAATTAACATTATCTCTATTTTCCATATGAATGGCTGACTGAAGGAATAAGAAAGAAACAAACACACCTGCGTCTGGAAAGAGGAGTCTGCATTTCAAGGCAAAGTTTATGCAGTGAAAACCAAACAGATTAAGAGAAAGCCCCACACAGAAGTGACAGCTGAGCCTTGGCCTTTTGGATTACACTGATTGGTTATTATACAGAGTAATGACTGCACTGAAATACCACACGGTACCCCAAACTGTACAACTATTATGTGACAATTAAGAAAAAAAGAAGCAGCAGCAGCAGCAGCAATAGGGAGCTGGAGACTTGGCTCAGCAGTTAAGAGCACTGGCTGCTCTTCCTCAGGCGTGATTCCCAGCACTCACAGGGTGGCTCACAACTGAGGGAATCCATCACCTGCTTCTGGCCTCTGTGGGCATCACACACACATAGTTCACATACATACATGCAGGCAAAGTTCACATGCACATGAAATAAATCTTTTTTTTTTTTAACTAGTAAGTAAAAGTTGTAGGCATGAGGGTTCACAGAGGGTGTGTGTATACATGTATGTTAATATGTATACTGATATAAACATAAATACAATTAAGAGGAAACTTAAAAAGGAAAACAGGCAAGGGATATTAAAGAAACATATAGTGATGAGTACTGGATTTTTAGAGGGTGTCACCCGTTGCAAAAAAAAAAAAAATTGTTTTATTGATTGGAAGTCTCATTTGATGGACGGCACTGTCTACTTTCATTCTTTGCTTCCCAAGGAACCCGATTCTTGTCATTAGGTTTAGTTTCTTTGAGACAGAGTCTCATGGAGCCTAGCCTGGCCCTGAGCTTGCTATGTAGCTGAGAACCACCTTGAACTCCTGATCCTCCTGCCTCTACCTCCCATGTGCTAAGATCACAGCTCTGTGCTACTGTACCTGCCTAAAAACAGGGTTTTTGTTTTGTTTTGTTTTGATTTTTTTTTTTCATGATTGCAACATGTGTAAATAAAGACGACAGTTCCCTTTGCAGCTAGCATTCAGGGGACTCAATTCTGGTCGAAGAGATGAGATCAGAAGAATCTGGGTAAGACCTCTAAAAAGGCATCCTAAAGAGGCTTCTAACATCAAGACTGTGACTTCTGGCCATTTGTTCTTCCTGTTCTTGAAATGACCGTGTAACGGCTGGACCATTGGATGTCCTGATGATGAGAGGTCCCAGAGAGGAGACATGTGCTGGTGACTAACATTCTTAACAAAAATAAATTCTTACGTGTTCAACCTGTTACCTTATGTTTCCGGCAATACAAGGCTCTATATTGTGAACGGCCCCCCCTGACTTAGTGCCTGGACAGGAAAACACGCTACAGAAAGGGCAGAGCCTAAGGAAGTTGTTTGGTTTACCCACCCCCCCAACTCCCTTCTCTGAGAACCACACCCACACCATAAAACAAGAAACAGAGTGGAAAACAAGATTCCAAGTGAGACTTCTGCCTGGGTGCCAGGGCACATGACCCTCTCCACAAGTAAATAAATATATTTTAAAAGCTTTTAAAAAAAGAATGACATCAACCTCTGGTTCTCATCTCTGCTTACCTACCACTAACATCTCCCCAGAAAGACAATAGCTGAAATCCAGTCCCCTCGCCTTGCCTAGGAGTCTTCCCAAGCCCCACCCTGAGAATGTGCCTTTGGGAACTGTCCTCCATCTCCACTTGTGGTTGCCTCCTGAATAAACTCTTTCTCTTTTGTAAACTCATCATATAGATGAGCAAAGGGGCCTGGTTCGATGAGCGAAGGAAATGACATGAATGGCACCCAGTGATCATCTCCCCATCAGCACCGAAGGACAGAGTGCTGCACCTGTTGCTGTAGGCTTGCTTGCTGACTGTCTTAGTCAGGGTTTCTGTTGCTGCAACAAAATAGTATGACCAAAAAGCAAGTTGGGGAGAAAGGGTTTATTCACCTTACACTTCCATATCACTGTTTATCACTGAAGGAAGTCAGGACAGGAACTCAGGCAGGGCAGGAACCCGGAGGCAGGAGCTGATGCAGAGGCCATGGAGGGGTGCTGCTTACTGGCTTGCTCCCCATGGTTTGCTCAGCCTGCTGTCTTACAGAACCCAGGACCACCAGCCCAGGGATAGCACCACCCACAATGGGCTGGGCCCTCCCCCACTGATGACTAATTGGAAAAAATGCCTTACAGCTGGATCTCCTGGAGGCCTTTCCTCAACTGAGGTTCCTTTCTCTCTGATGACCGTAGCTTACGTAAACTTGATAATTATAATTTCTATCACTATCTGTAATATACGTTATCACCAACATTAATACATGTGGAGAAACACACCGTGCTAAGCGTGCTGTGTACTTCCATGGCTGCAGGAGCACTGAACACGGGGTGAGGCTCTGACTTGGGCTCTCCAGAGGGTCAAGATCCTGGGCTGAGCCAAAAGAGCAAGGCTTCTTGCATCCCATCAGAGACATTAGCAAAGAACCATTTAAGTAAACTGAAGAGTCTCTTAATGACTACGCAAGCTCAAGTTGATGCAGAGACACACAAGGACAAAAGGACAAACTGTCAAGGTTATTAGAAACAAGAAAGAGTATTCTACTTTGAGAAGAGTCCAGAAATGCATTACGTGGAGAACGCTAACATTCAACAGGTGCTTTCTGAATCTAGGTGCCATGTTGGTGGAACTAGAATGTTTATAATGAGGATGACAGTGGAAGCACATTCATGGTGATGCAAAGATGGACGCTCTTCATTGCGTTCGATGTATATTTTCTCACTTGGAATTATGTTTTTCAGCTCTGTCTTTGGTTTGGTTTGGTCTGAGGTAAGATCTCATGTTGCCCATCATGTTGGGATCACAGGTATGCCCTACTTCACCTACCGCAGTGCTGGGATCAAACTCCGGACCTCATGCCTCCTAGGCAAGCACTCTGACAACTGAGCTACGACTCTACTATTCAAATTTTTAAATTTTGTGTGTGTGTGTGTGTGTGTGTGTGTGTGTGTGTGTGTGTAGGTGGAGGTCAGAAGATGCTTGTGAGAGCTGCTCCCAGAGACTGGGCTTGTGTGGTGAGCTCCTTTACCCAGCTGAGCATCCTACCAGCCCTCATCGCCATAATTCTTAAGGTCAGACTCATAGGCACTCACAGTTATTCGTTCTGTTTTTGACTTACAGTTTGGGTTTGGCCAGGACTGGAGGCGGCTCTTTGACAGGGGAGGAAGGCTCTGGGATTCGGGGTTCCTGTCCATTGAACCTCTCAGGGAAGGAATTCGGCCTCGTGTGGCTCCCGCAGGAAGACGCCTCACTCTCTTTATCATCTTCAGGCAGGTTGAAATGCACCCGTAGCCCAATCCTGGAGCTGGACCGGGGCTCGTTATGGTTCACCAGGACCCCTTCCAGTTTGGGTTTTGGGGGCTGTTCCTCGGAAGGAGGCTGTGGGTTGGGTGGGGAGGATTGTTGTTCAGCCACAGCTGGGTTAGGGGTGGAGTTGGCTGAGTGAAGAGCTCCGTTATCACTGATGTCTTCATTTCCTGAAAGGACAATTAGGGAACATGAGCTGGAGGCCACTGACAGGACTGGTCAGGCATTGGCACCTGATCGCAAGTGGGAAAGTTTTGGGCCAGGTAAACGCACACACAGGAAGATGCTTGCTAAAAACAGCCCAAATCTGGAGCATTCAAGAACAGTGAGGATGTGAGGGGGTGGAACTGAATTGAACGTCTGAGTGTATGCTCTGTGTGTTGCAGTGTGCAACGCAAGCTTGGTTTACTGGAGGATGTGAGCTTGATTCTCTGACTGCCTACCTCTAAAAGCTAAGCGTTGTGTGTGGGGTGTGTGTGTGTGTGTGTGTGTGCTTGTG